CCCCAATGAGCGACGACGACATTACGAAGACGACGACGACGACGACGACGACGACGACGACGACGACGACGACGACGACGACGACGACGGCACGCCCCAACAGACTCCCCAAGACGCCCCAAACCCATGCTCCCAGAAGACCTTCTGGGAACCCGATTCATACGGTCTCCGCCCCCCTACACAACCATTTTCCTCGAAGGCCTTTCGGAATGCAGATTGGCATGCGTGGACTGTGGTCAACTACCTCAGTGGAGCAGTGAATTCGTCAAGGCCTGGGGCCTGCTAGAACCTGAGCGCGCGCGAAGCGCGCGCGATGGTTCTAGTGCGCATATATATATATATATATGTATAGATATATACATGGGAAAGAGAGAGAGAGAGAGAGAGAGAGAGAGAGTTGGACCGAGCCCTCGTAGGATTAAATTAGAGCTGGGCTCAGCTATGGTAGGATGTCGTTCAATTTGGATCGAGCCCGACTCGGATACTATTAAAGGTAGATCCAGCCATCGTAAGATTTTGCAAGAGCCTGATCGAGCACACATAGGACTCTATTAGGGGCATGGGAAATGCCCAGTTTGAACCCCCCCCCATGACAGGAGAAGGGTGAGGGGAGGCCCGGTTCAAACCACCTCCCACCCCCCCTGAAAGGGAGGGACGGTTAGGGAGGCCGGTGTCCGAGGGGGGAGGCCGAAAATAGGACGAATAACGTCCGCATTGGGACGGGGCCGAACCATTCTGATACCAATTCCAGCCAATCTGGTACCAATTCGAACCGCTGTGGAAGCTCCTCAGAGATTCCTTTTGAGATTCCGTTTCCTAGACAGATGTTGTTGTCAAAAACGGAAAAGGACTTGATGGGAGGGTGGGATCGGCACATATCCCATTGAATGTAAACGGAAACGAACACATCACATGAAAGCATAATGCGGGAGGTTGGGGCCAGCGCGTTTCCCATTGAGGTCATATAGAAAAATCGAATAGTGAAGCATTCTACGGGAGGCTGGGATCAGAGCGTTTCCTGTTGAAGCCGCATTGGAAGCACAGAATAATCAAGAATTGTGCGGAAGGTTGGCTTTGTTGCATATTCTGCGGGGGGCTGGGGTCAGCGAATTTTCCATTAACTCGAAGTTCAAGAACTAAAATGAAAAAGCTATCACAGGATTTTGCGGAAGGCTGAGATCAACGCACTTCCGATTGAATTCTGGTCGGGACAAAAATGTTAGACTCCTGCGGGAGGTTGGGACCAGCGCGTGTCCTGTGGAGTTCTTATTGGCAAATAAGTTCCTACACCAAAAAACTTTGACATTCTCCGAGAGGGTGGGGGGGATCAGCGCGTGCCTTATTAAATTCCGATTGCCAGGGGAATGGAAGATTTAAGAATGTTGCGGGAGGCTGGGATCAGCGCGTGCTCTTTCGATATCCCCATTTAAAAGCAAGTGGAATATCAAAGAATTAGTCGGGAGGTTGGGCTCAGCGCGTGGGTTGTCCAAGTCTCATGGGGAACCAAGAAACACATTCAGCAAGTTCTGCTGGAGAGTGGGATCGACGCACGTCCTCTCGAAGCCCAATCGAAAAACAAACAAACGAATTACACAAATAAGACACATATGCGGAAGTCGAGGACCGACCCCTGTTAAGATTGAATTCCGATTGATGAAAACATCGGGTATGAAAGAATAAAGCGGTATGTTCGAATTGGTACATCCCAAGTGAGGTTCGTTAAGAATTCGAATACCGCAGATTCTAGAACCACGAAGCAATAAACAGTTCACAATAAACACAAACATGTTCACATGTGCATGTAACCGAAACTATGACGTACGAGTCAAGGACCCCTGCAGCAATGGCATTTAAGAAACAACACCCAAACATCAGAGCTCCCACATGAGAACTTGTGACATTATCATGTCAGGTTATACCAGTCCCCGCCATATTGCGCGAACCCTCGAGATGCCAGATGCCATGTAACAGCTCGTTTGCGCAACTTGTGCACATGAAGCCTGCTTTCTTTCTGGTTCCCCTTGACAGCTGAACTTTGCATACGCACGCTAAGAGATTATCACTAGAAGCTGATTGGTTTTTTGATGGGTATCCAAGCCTTTGGGTTTGAGTATGTTACTGCTCGCTGGTGCAACCGCTAACGGCTCTCACATGAAAACTTCGTAACGCAAAACGTTACGCAATTGTCATGCCAAAGTTGTCCAGCCCTCATACGCCGACCGGAAAGCTCCAGTTTGATTTGAGACCATGGCTCAGCTTCAAAACAACACAACTCCCAGATGTCGGAAAGTCAAATAGTACCAGCTCCAAACGTGGCACTCATGTTGTATGCTAGATTGAACGTATTTTCCTAAGACGTGCATTTGATATCTGAACCGTATCCAACTGATCCACACCTCGACTCTTATTGTACTGTTCAGGACGGATGGTTGTATTTGGTACTGATCTATTTTTCGACAGTTGAAAAGTGCCCCGGCTTGTTGGAGTTAATACCAGTCGGTCGGGATTGGTCCGACATACGGGGGACCCCACAGTTTTCCGAGCATTTCAAATGTTTTGGGGAGGGTGGGCGGTTCCGACGTGTCCATGGATTTGGATGTGTTTCAAGCAAGCGTCCACGAAACGCGTTCTCTCATACTTCGGCAAGGCAGGTGCGCGTAGCCTGGTGCTCGAATTTTCACTGGGGATGCACTCCCCAAGTAGGCACAGGACAGCATAAGGCAAGGGCCCAGACCAACCCAGACTCCTCTTTGGCGGCGGCGCAACGCTCGGCCCCCACCACTCTGGCAACGGACGCTGACGGAGATGGTGGCGACATCCCGCCGGGGCTAGCACATGCATCCAAACTCGCGGCAAGTGACACAGTGCAGAAGAAGATTTGTTGCCAGCTCTCTTTCTCCCTTTTGTATGTTCCCTCACTCTCTCTCTCTCTCTCTCTCTATGTGTATATATATGCTTGTCTGTCTCTCTTTCCATCTCTCTTTCTCTACCTATTTCTTTCTCTGTATATACCTCTCTCTCGTTCTCTCTCTCTCTCTCTTTCTTTCTCTTTTTCTCGTTTCCTCTCTCTCTCTCACGCACATCAGAAGCCCCAGCACGTGCATCAGACGACTATACGTATAGATGCGGGTGATGGCGGCAGAGATGATATTGTGCGTGCTGGGCCAAAACAACATACATAGCACGTGTTGGGCGGGGCTGGCGCAGCCACTTCAGGCCAACCGCTCAGGCCCGAAGAAAAGGTGCTGCTTCTCGTGAATCTTCCTATCCTCGTGCTCCCCGTTCCCGCTCCAGTCCACCCCCCTTTCTCCCCCCGCCACTGCCGAGCCCACCCCTGCTCAGGCCGTTCTAGGCGTGGTGGAGGCACAGAGGCTGGAGGGGGATGATCAGGCTCTCCTTCGCTGTCCAGGGCATTCCGAGGGGGGGAGCCCTCCGACCAAATGTTCTGCCCCAGCGGCCAGTCCCTGGCAGTCCTCTGCCCTTGGAGCCTGGGTGTCAGCGGCGCACAGCGCAGAATCCTCCGCTCCCCCCTCCTCTTTCTGGCAGATGGGATCGCACTCGCAGTGCAAAGCCATGCAAGGCAATGCACGGCAAACGAAAGCAAGACGCAGCAATGCACAGCAATCCAGAGCAGCGCAGTGCAACGCAGTACAGCACAGCGCAAAGCACCGCAAAACCATGCAAGCCAGAACAACGCAACCACATGCGATCGTGGTCGGGAGTGGAAGCTCACCGGGCGCGAGGCGCACGGCTGCGGGCCCCGTATTGCCGTGGCGGGGCGTGGAGCAGGGCATCGTCTCGGCGTGGCCGGGCAGGGGTGTCGGGCTGCGGCGCAGGCCTAGCGCGGTGGCCTCCCTGGGCGTGGTTGCGGTCGGGAATTTTGGGGTCATGTGGCGTGTCGCGCCGCGCCCACCACGCTTCGGCACGGCACGCTCCTCAAGGCCCTGTCCCCGGGCGTTAGCATCCCGAGCATTTCCCAGCCTCTCGCCACCGCGGAGCGGAGCGATACGGTATCCGGTCGCAGGTCACAGCGTGTCGCCGGGACCGCCACCGCGCGAGACGCTCAGCAAAGGATTCAGCCGCATACAAATCCTGACAGGCGTTTTCGCCACGCACGCCTTCCCACCGGGGCACTCGTAGATCGGCGCGGCTCGGAAAATCGTTCAGAAAGGTTTGGGTCGAGGGCTCGGGCCTTGATGTTTCACGGTTTCGGATGGCGGGATAGTGCCGTGGCCTGGAAAAGTCAGGCGGGGAAAAGACACACAGACACAATGAATCTTCGATTCCAAAGAAAATATGGAAACCTATGGGAAGTGAGGGGAAGATGAAAACCCAGAAAAGATGGAAACAAATAATACATATATACATATGTATATATATATATAGAGAGAGAGACTTGGGAGTTATGCGTATTTATTTGCGTGTCCCTGGGCCCCTTCAAAAAGGTTTGCCCCGCTCAGCACCGTGGCTTGGGCTGCGTGCAGCTCCAGGCTTGGCGCTGGCTGGGCCTGGAAGGGCTCATCCCGTGCTGGTTCGGCAAGTGTCCCCTCGCGTGTTCCGCGTTCGTTCGCGACCAGCAGGCACAGCCATCACCACCACCACCTGCGTTCGGGAACGTCTGGCGTGTCGCGCCGCCCGCTCTGGCCCGCCACGCTCCGGCACGGCACGCTAACCGCGTCCGGGCCCCCAGACATTCATGCCTCGAGTTCTCCCCAGCATCCCACTGTCTCGGATCGGAACGACACTTTCTCACCGTGCAGGGCAAAGCGGTTCGCCAAAGCCGCCGCCGAAGATCGCGAAGATCCTCCTGCTCTTCCTCCTACTTACCTCTCCTCCTCCTTCTCCTCCTCCTCCTCCTCCTGCTCGTCCTCCTCGTCCCCCTCCTCCTCCCATTCCTCCTCCTCGGACTACCCCCCCCTTCCTCTTCCCCCTCCTTCTCTCCCTCGTCATTGTTAATCATTCCTCCTCATTCCTTCGCCTCCCCCTGTCCCCCCTTCCGCAGCAGTCTGGCCCGAGTAGCTTCGAGCACCCGAACGACGACCGAGTCCCCTCCAGCGGGCACTCGCTACACCCGCGGAGCGATGACGACCGACAGCCAGGTGGAGGGTTGAGAAGTACCAGGACGATCGAGGAGCAGGAAGGGGGGAGGAGGAAGGAGGGAGGCAGACAGAGGGAGGAGGAAGAGGAGGAGGACGACGACGAAGGAGGACGGAGGAAGAAGGAAGGAAGAATGAGGAAGGATGGAAGAGCAAGGAGGAGGAGGAGGAGGAGAAGGAAGGAGGAGGAGGAGGAAGGAAGACGGGGAGGAGCGAGAAGGCCAGAGAAGGGAGGAGGAGGAGGAGGAGGAGGAGAGGAGGAGGAGGGAGGAGGAGGAGGAGGAGGAGGGAGGAGGAGGGAGGAGGGAGGAGGGAGTTGGAGGGAGGAGATGGGGGAGGAGGGAGGGGGAGGGAGGAGGAGAGAGGAGGGGGAGGAGGGAGGAGGAAGGATGAGGAGGAGGAGGAGAAGGGTGGCGGTCGAGGGTCGAGGTCTCTGTGCACCTTGCTCGCGCTTCGGGGCATCCGGGTTCGCCCTCTCGTCGCCACGGTTGGATCCGCGTCGGAGCTCCTGGTCAGCACGGCCCTTTGGGGTACGCAGGTCCAGGAGTCGGTCTTGAGGGAGGAATCGGACACAAAAAACAGCACCTCGTCCCTAACAGCGGCACCGGCAGGTCAATATCACCTTGTTCCAGTAAAAGAGAATCGAGCCAGATAGATCGTGCAGAAGTCATGTCCCCTGCGCAAATGCCTGCGCATAAGGGCGCATAAGATCCGCGTACGGTCGGACCGAGGTATAAGATCGAGGTCGGCTCGGGGAGGGTAGCCCAATGTTCGTGTGCGTGTGTGTTGGATGTCCTCGTGCATCCTGGAAGAGGGCACACTCGAGTGTTCTTCAGTTTGGGCCGGCGAAGGGTCTCATGCCCTTGGGATATGTTATCCTGCCCTAGTTCCGACCGTAAGGTCAGGGCGCACAAGCCCCGCAAGAATTATAGATGTCTTAGATCCGCGCTGGGACCCCCTGGCGGCCCCTCCGGCGCCGCCCCTGGCTCTCTCCGCGCGCCAGGGAGGGGGGTCTAGCGCGGATCCAAGACATCCCCGCGGACCTCAAAAAAGTGTGCATATCTGCCGTTCTGTTGCTCTTAAGGAAGACCCCGTATCTCCAGGCGTCACGACAGAATCACGATGCCCAAATGCCAGCTCCTGAGGGGGGGTGACTTTCGGGCCCCAGGGCGGCAATGAGGACAATGCCCGCGGCGAGAGACTGGCCCCAGGGATGGGGGGAAGATCTCACGATTCCAACGCTGCGCACAACAAGAGCAAACATACAAAAGGAATGAACAACAACAAGTGCGTCGGATATCTGAGGGGGAGGAGCAGCAGAGGCGGCGGATTTCCAGGAGCGTCTTCTGAGGCACGAGCAGGTCGCCATCACGTGAACCTTTGCGGAAAAAGGGCCCAGGGGATGGGAGGGCACCCTCGCATGACACGGTTTCGACGTGTTGTCTTTTCAGATTCTCGGGGCTGTCTTGGGGCACTCGGAATCGTCTTGAACAGTCTTGGGGAGTTCTTGAGGCTTTCTGAACGCTTCCCGGCTATCTGAAGGCTTCCCGATGCGATCGTCCGCAGAGAGGCCCAAAAGCAAAAAGTATATGACTTCAACAGGTCTCTCAATGTTGTTCGGATCTTGGGGGAGCCGTATGGGTTGGAGATCGCTCCCCCATCCGCACCTTCAGTATGGCTCAGCAGCAGCAGGAGCAGGAGACAGGAGATGATGTCTTGTACCTTGTGTGCAACCTTCCAGAGGGCCACGACGCCACGGCTGGATCCCCTTCGAAGTTCTCAGCGTAAGTTCTGGTAGTACTCGGGGGGTCGGTTCGAAGGGAAATCAAGGAGGAGGAGGAGGAGGAGGACCAGCGCAATCCCAGGAGGCATCAGCGAGACTGCAGTACATCCTCCCGTCCCACGCCCCCTCCTCATTGGCCCCTGCGAGCGTCCCTTTTTCCACTGCGAGAGAAGTGGCCCTTTGACAGACGAGCGCCCCCACAGGGTGTGACAGTCGAGCGATCTGGCCCGTTTTTTGAGCATGATCCGCCGTCCATCCGCCTAGCTTTAAGTCGGGCCTGTCCCTCTACAGAAGGAGTATCCCCAAATAGTGAAAAATATTATGGAGACGATGTTTTGACAATGTTTGAGCATTTTGGGCGTATGGTTGGGGTATTTCTTATTCTTCGTTCAAAATCCGCCTGCAGGGGGACAGGCCCGACCTAAGCCTAGCTACGTACAAGAGGTGGAGAGTTCATGCAAGTCAAGGTGTCCACGGAGAGATACATTGTGAACAAGGGTCGCCCTCCACCGTGCAGCTGCTGCAACGCTCTATAAGTTTCTCGCTCGCCGACAACTCAAGAAGGCCCACGCGAGATGCCAATGTGGAAGGTCATTGCGTTCAGTTCAAGACGAATTTTCGCGGCGCTAAGACGGAGGCTTTACTTTGAAAAATGGCCGCCCTCCATCTGCGAAGTTGTTTGAAACTCGCAGAACGAATGTTCGTTGCGCCAAGTCGATGCTTTACATGTGATAACGTATCACCCCCCATCCGCTTAACTGCTCAAAGCTTCAAGCGTCAGTATCATAAGCGGTGAAGAAGTCTCGAGCGAAACGCCCAGACCGCCCTACCGACACTTCTGGTGGTGCGGCGAGGAGAAGTGGTTCGGAAGATGGATGGATAATTGGAGGAGGAAGAGACCTCCCCCCAAGAGCATCCAATAATCCCGATGGACTTTGAAGAACCCCGCTCCTCCTCATCCTCCTCCTCAGGAGAAGAAGGATGCGGAAGCCGAAGCGGCTCGGACGGCCATCTGTGCTGGCAATTGGGCCGAGTTTTCCTGGCGTGCGCGCAGGGGTCCTGAGGTCAGAAGGATCAGGGATGGGCGGTCAGACCTCAGGACCCCCGAATTCTAAAACAGTGCTTGCACTTCGGGAGCCTCTCTCGTAGTGTAAGGACTTGGTCCTGTGGTGGCGGGGGTCGGCCGTAGGCGTTCGGCATCGTGTGGCCTCCCGTGGCTTGGCCTCCCGTGGCTTTCTCATGGCAGCCCGCCGTTGCAGGCCACGTCTCTCGGGGTCGGCCCCTAGTTGGATGGCCTCCTGTGGCCTCCTGCATTTTTCGCGTTTCGTCATTGCTCCACACGCACGCACACACACAGGCACACACGCACACACACACACACACACACAAACACGCGCGCGCATTGTTTCAAAAGGTCACCTGTTTGGAGCCCACGCGCTGGAGTCTCTTGTTGTCTTGCCTAGGGTGATTGATACACACTGCTCATTTCTAATTCTTCGAAAGTTCGTTGATTTTTTTGGGGGGCAAGATCCTTTCATTTCTAATTGTTCTATCCTGGGCCTCTTCCTGGCCGCTAGGGGGCCAGGAACAATTAGAAACGAGCACGATTAGAAATGAGCACGATTAGAAATGAACGACGTGTACCTCTGGTCCAAGAGTAGCAGCAGGAGGGCCAGGGGGACGAGGGGCAGGAGAAGGAAAATCAAGAGAAGGTTCCAGCAGGGTTCCCGCCGGGTCGCGGGGCGTCCTTGGAGATCCAGGGCTGGAGGCTCTTGCCGCTTCCGGGGCGGACTGGAGGGAATAAGGACGAGGATGAAGGGGAAGACAGAGAATGGGGAGAAGAAGAAGGAGGAGAAGGAGGAGGAGGAGGAGGAGAAAAGGGTGGACAGAGGGGCGGCGTTCGGGGAGACCTTGCTTTTACCGTTGAGCTTGTTTCTGGGCCTCCGGGTTTTTTCTGGGAATCCCCACGGCCTTTCGAACATTTCCCTCGAACCGCAGCATCTGGGCGCCGCGGGAAAATCACGACGGGCGTTTCATCCACGTTGCCAGGCTTAGGCCCTTCACGGGTCGAGCCGACTCAAGAAGTTTTGTCTGCAGCAGAGGTCGAGGGATCCAGTCGCGTTTTGTTCGCGACGTCGTGGTTTGTTTGTTCCCAACCATCTTGTGGTGTTGGGTCCTCGCTTTGAAGAGACAGCGCCCCGCGTCTCACTCACCACTCCTCCTCCTCCTCCCCCTCCTCACTCCTCCCATCCCTGCGTCTGCTCTTCGCATGTCATCATCATCACCATCTGCATCATCATCACCATCAGAATCATCATCATCAGCAGCAGCAGCATCATCATCATCAGCAGCATCAGCATCAGCATCATCATCACCATCATCACCATCATCACCATCATCACCATCACCATCACCATCACCATCCTCATCATCATCAGCATCATCATCATCATCATCATCATCATCATCATCATCATCTTCAGCAGCAGCATCATCATCGTCATCATCATCAGCATCAGAAGCATCATCATCATCGTCGTCGTGATCTTCATCGTCGTCGTCATCGTCACCCCCTTTTCCTCGGCACACCCCTCGCACGCTTCGTGGCCCCATAGGCAGTTCCACCTGCGGCCCCAGTGCACCGTTCGCATGTGGGCGTCGCCCACGTTTCGGCAGGCCCCTCACACGCTTCGTGGCCCCATGGGGAGCTCCACCTACGGCCCCAGTAGCACCGTTCGCATGTGGGCGTCGCCCACGTTTCGGCACACCCCTCACGTTTCGAGGGCCCATAGGGAGCTCCACCTACGGCCCCAGTGGTACCGTTCGCATGTGGGCGTCACCCCCGTTTCGGCACACCCCTCACACGTTTCGTGGCCCCATGGGAGCTCCAACTAAGGCCTCAGTGGCACCGTTCGCATGTCGGCGTCTCCCCCGCTTCTGCACACCCCTCACACGTTTTGCTGGCCTCGTAGGGGGACCACATCTCAGCAAGAATAAGGATTTCTGCAATATTGCCTCAGCTGCTCATCGGGGGATCCAGCTAAGGCCCAAGTGGCACCGTTCGCATGTGGGCGACACCCCCATTTCGGCACACCCCTCACACAGTCCCTGGCCCCACTGGGAGCTCCACCTAAGGCCCTTTCTCCGGCACACCCCTCACACGTGTGGTGGCCCCACGAGGAGCTCCACCTACGGCCCCAGTGGCGCTGCCTGCATTCGGGCGACACTCCCGTTTCGGCACACCCCTCACATGTTGCGTGGCTCCATAGGGAGTTCCACTTCAGATCGTACTCACAAATATGGTCGGGTTCTTCGCCAGGCGAATTTTTGTTTTCAGACGCTGAATTCCAACCGAGGAGACCCCGATCGGGCGGTCAGGGAAGATCAGGCTGCTGATCAAGACCAGCTCATCGATCAAATCCAGATCGGTGCAGTCGACCCCAGACATCAGACGCCGTGATTTTTGATCCGTGGACCACCAGAGGCCTCTGCCCCATCCCAAGGTCCAGTTTCTCGTCGCGGGTCGTTTTCCGGCCGTCCCATGGCCCGCAAGCGGACCCTGGACCCCGAACTCGAGAGGAGACGTTCGGATTGTATCACAGCGACGTCGGATGTGTCGGATCGGACCCCCTGCAGGCAGATCCACGACGTCTCGGGGGCCAGCCCGTGTCGTGACTGGGGTCGGCGCGTGGATCGGCTGTTGCTTCTCTCTTCCCTCTGGAGCGAGAACGCCGGCTTGTGGTTGGCTCCTAGGCTGGAGCAGTGGGGCCAGCGCAGGGACAGGCGCAGTCGTGCACGAAGCATACACTGCTGCATGCAACTGTACGCATGCACTGCGGGGGCGGCGCGAAGTATTGCACGGGCAGCAACTGCTGCACCCGAGCCCGAAAACAGCTGCATCCAGGCACAATCTAGTGCAGATGCTATTGCACCTCTCCCTGACGGTCTCATCTGCGTTCTTCACTACTCCGGCCTGAAGAGTCGCGGCCGTGCGCGTCTTCTTTCTTATTTTTCAAGTGGTTGATTGTTGATGTGTGGATTTGCGGGCATCGGGGAGTGCATATTTTCTCCAGAGGTGGAGAAGTGGGCGAAGGAGATCATGAAGACGGGCATCTGGATGGCGGAGGAGTCGGGTTCGGAAACTATCGTCGAATCGGGCCTCGGCAAGTACAAGATCCCGAAGCCGCTCGCCTCGGCCATCACGAGCGACGAACACGTCCACATCCATGCCCTCGCGGTGTGGACACCGGGGCGCGACCCCGCGGATGCACTCCGCGCGGGGCATCTGGCGCAGAGCCGCCCCACACCCCGGGGGGTCGCGACCGAGGAGTCCAGACCGCGAGGCCGTGGATGTGCGCACTTTTCCCCGCTTGAGTCACCGAGCGCGTTCCACTACTCGCAAAGTGCCTGCTCGCGAACGTCTGGAAATACACGTGCGTTTCGAGGTAATGTGTCGCAGATCCCCCATGGCGGATCCAGGTCATTTGCGGGTAGCATCTTTGCGAGCAGTGGAGCGCGCTCGTCGATTGAGGTCACGAAGGAGGACGTGAAGCTGGCCCTCTCCCCCGAGGCCGTCGCGGAGCAGTGGGCGGGGCACGGGCACGGGCACGACGCCGCCGGCGGGCACAGCCACCTGGACGGCCACGCGCACGACGAGGGCCACGCGCACGACGGCCACGCCCACAAGGACGGCCACGATTGCTGCGAGGGCCACGACGGCCACAAGGCGCACGGCCACGACGGCCACGACGGCCACAAGGCGCACGGCCACGACGGCCACGACGGCCACAAGGCGCACGGCCACGACGGCCACGACGGCGGCCACAAGCACGACGGCGACTGCTGCGGCGGCCACGAGGGCCACGAGGGCCACAAGCCCCACGGTGAGGCGGGCCACGGCGGGCACGGGCACTAGGCCCGCGCACGCCCGGCGCGCGCGGCGTGCGGCGCGGGACAGAGGCGGTGCGTTTCTCGCGGGGCCGAGCGTGTGGCCGAGCTCGTGGCCACGCGCGCAGAGAGCCCAAGCGCAGTGGCCTTGCGATCGCCCGCGCACCCGCGGGCACAAAAGCGGCCGCTGCCCTCCTCCTCCTCCTCCTCCTCCTCCTCCTCCTCCTCCTCCTCCCTTTCCTCCTCCCTTTGCTCCTCCTCCTCCTCCTCCTCCTCACTTTCCTCCTCCTCCTCCTCCTCCTCCCTTTCCTCCTCCTCCTCCTCCTCCTCCTCCTCCTTCTCCTCCTCCCTTTCCTCCTCCCTTTGCTCCTCCTCCTCCTCCTCCTCCTCATCATCATCATCATCATCCTCCGATCCTTATTCCTTTTAAGAATATACTCTTACTCCCCCCTCTGGCCGGCCGATAGGGGTTCCACCTGGGCCCTCCCATCCGAACTGGAAACACAATGTCGTCGTTGTTTCTGTCAACATGGCCTTTCTTGTCGCCGACGATGCGAAATGCGCAGCAGGAATAGGACGCGGCGCACATCGCGCGCGGCCGTTAATCCGGGCCCTCCCATCCTAACTGTTGAAAAATCAATACAAGGTCGTCGTTGTTTCTCTCAACATGGCCTTTTTTGTCGTCGGTAATGCGAAATGCGTAGCAGAAATGGGACGCGGCGCACAACAGGCGCGGACGCCTGGGGCAACCCCAAGCGGGAGGGGCCATCCTACCTGTCAAAAACCATACACGGCATGTTTGTTCTCTCTGCGGATGTTTCTGTCGTTTGCTTTGCGAAATGCGTGGCAGGAAGGGGGCGCGGTGCACATCGCGCGCAACAGGACGAAATGTCGCTCTCGCTTCGGCGCGGCGCGCATGTTTTCTCAAAGTTGCGCTCCCGTTAGGCATCCTGGGGCTTCCTGGGATTCCCGGGGGCTTCCTGACACTTCCTAGGGCTTCCTGCAACCTCCTGGAATTACCTGGGGCTTGCTGGGCCCCCCTGAAGCCTCCTGGGGCTTCCTGGGGGTCGTTGGGGCTTCTCCTGAGACCTCCTGGGGCCTCCTGAGGCTTCCTGGGGCATCCTCGGCTCGTGCTGAAATGCCAGCGCAGTCTTTGAGACGCGCCAGGGATTTCTTATCGGTAACCGCCATCGCGGCTGCATCAGCTGTGGCAAACCACCTTGCCGATCTGATTTCGGTCCCCAGTTGCGCCAGCACTGTTTCTTATGTTGTGGGAGGGCGGGTGGGAATGGGTATGCCATGCTTGACTCGCTCGAGCTGGCTAGCTTGACTCCTCCTTCTACTCCTCCTCCTCCTCCTCCTCCTCCTCCTCCTCCTCCTCCTCCTCCTCCTCCTCCTCCCCATCCTCCTCCTCGTGCAAGCCCGCATCCCACCACGGCCGGGCTCTGGAGGGGCGGCGTCCTCCGGAAGAGGCGGAAGTCACGGCGGGGCGGGGCAGGAGGGGAAGAAGATCGAGGATCGGGGTTCGAGGGCGCAGCTTGTCTTCTGAAGTTCGAGGGCCCTGGAGGCCCCAGAAGGGCCGAAGATATCGAAAACCTTGGTCTTCGAGCCTCGAGCATGGGGCAGGGAGGCCTTCGCCATCCCTCTTTCGTCTTCGCAAGGGGGGGCAGACCCTGGCGGCGTCGCTGTGAGCTCCTCTTTCTGAGGTGGGGGCTATCGTCCTCCTCGTCGCCGTCGTCACACCAGGGGCCGGGTCCGTGGAGAGGGCTCACGGGCTGGCCATGCTTGGCGCGGATCGGGAGGGAATCGCCACAAAGAGAAGGGGTTCTGCAGTTCTTCTCCCCAGGTTCGGGCTCCTTCGAGCCCTCTCCCAGTCCCAGGCTTGTCAGAAACAATTTGGTATTGAAGGAACATAGATGCTCTACTGGCCAATCTTCCGGCTTTGCCTGCTCGGAGTCGTTTCCAACCGCTTTTGTCCTTTGTCCTCCTCCTCCTCCTCCTCCTCCTCCTCCTCCTCCTCCTAGACCGTCCCCTCCAGTGGACGTTCGCTCCTCCTCCTCCTCCTCCTCCCTTTCCTCCTCCTCCTCCTCCTCCTCCTCCTCCTCCTCCTCTCCTCCTCCTCCTCCTCCTCCCATCCTCCTCCTCCACCTCCTCCTCCTCCATCCTCCTCCCCCCCCTCCTCCTCCTCCTCCTCCTCCTCCTCCTCCAGCCCCTCTGGTTCTGGCCTGTTTGGAGGAACTGGGGGCACCTCACACCGAGGCAGAGTTGATGCAGGTCGCCCTCCCACAGGACCTGCGCGAGCCGCCATGGCGCCAGTGCTGAGGTCGACCCTCCGCCTCCTGGCGTTCAACCCGCTCCACGCCGTCGGAGCTCGGCTCACGGAGCTGCTGATCGGCTGTCGGGCTGCGGACGTGCTCCTCCTCGCGGGTACCAAGGTGCAGTGCCACGCTGGAGGAGAGGGAGTGCTCCTCCGACGATGCGAAGGACGGCTAGTGCTGGAGGCGCCGTACACCGAGGGGGCGCACACCAACCACAGCGCGGGGTGCGCCATCGCGCTGGGGGAGAGATTCCGTGACTGTCACGTTGTCCGAACGTGGGGGTCGCCACCTGGTGCTGGAGGACAGGCCCCCGCGGCTGGGATTCGCAAGGGCTGCCTCGACATCCTCGTTGGGGTCATCTACTTCCCGCCACAGCCGAGGGAACGCATCCAGGTCAGTCGCTACCTTCATACCGCGCGGTTGCTGAGAGACTGGTGGCAACAGATACTTCAGGAGGCGCCTACGAGGACGCTACCAATTTTTTACGCCGACCTGAATGACGGGCTGGGGATCCAGAAGCAGGCGGGGGGATGGTCAACACCGCCGTCTCAGGCTCTGGGACACCTGCGTTGCCGCGAGCAGCGACGTGGAGGTGCTGGAGAGTTGGTGAGGTACTTATTGGATGCCCAGCACATGGCCGCCCCGTCCACTTTCGCGAACAAAGTTGAGTACACGTACTACACGACCAGGACACCATCCACGGGCTCGGTCATTGATCATTTTTTCATCCCGCAGGACTGGCTCCCCCGCGCGCTGCGATGCCATGTTCTGCACGGATTGGGAGCACAGTAGCAAGTGCTGCCTGGGGCGCCGCCGAGGGACCACCTTCCCCTCCTGCTCGAGCTAGCGTACGAGAAGGACGCCTGGGCCCTGCCGCCGGCGCCTCCACCGCGCCTGGACTCCACTAGGGTGATGCAAGCTGTCCGCCACGGAAGGGGAAAAAAGGATTTCCTGGAGGATGTTCTGAGGCGGATTCGGGAGAGGAGTGAATATATCGATGGATGCATGATGGAGGGTACTCCCGACGCGATCTGGGAGGAGCTGGAGAACATTCTCACGGCGTCGGGAGCAGCGCACTTTGGGGGAACACCTGGGAGAGAGGCGCGTAGCAAGCGATGTGCTAGACGACGTGAACTTCTCCTGGAACGTTCCCGACTTCGACGAGCACGACTGGATGCAGACGAGGACCGACTTCGGGAGCTGGAGGCTGAGCTCAAGACCCTCTCGGCAGAGCTGAAGGCGGAGCACCGTGGACGCAGGGCCGCAGAGAGGAACCAGCTGCAGGAGGAGGTGAATGAGGCCTGGGAGAGGAGGGACATGGCCGAGGCGATGCGTCTTTCACGGCTACTTGGACATTGCCGACTGGGCGCGAAGCGTCGGGACGGACGCCGCCTTGGCACCCCTCCGCTGCCACGGGCAGAGTGGGTCGAGGCTTGGGGGGGGGGGGGCCTGGCGCCCAGGGGGGTATGAGAGCGCGCGAAATAGATTGGAGTGAATGGCGTGCTAGCAGAACAGGCACTGCCCCCGCTCCACCCGCGGACTCCATGGACATCAGTTGCGCACAGGAGGACTTCAAGGAGCTGAGGCGCTACGTCCGCCGCGCCAAGAAGAGGCGCACGGTTCCAAATGGTGCGGCGGCGCTGGAGCTATGGGATCTTTGCCTCTGGCCCGACAGGGCCATGGATCGTCTTCCCCACGGCGTGGGCTTCGAGAAGACGGTGCAGGGGATGCAGCTGTTCGACGAGACCCTCCTGCGCGCGCTGACGCTGATCAGGCGCACGGTGAAGACGCCCCTGCACTGGCACCGCAGTATGGGCATCGGACTCGCCAAGAATGACAAGCCTGGCATGAAGGGAAGGCGAGTTATACACTCTCTCCCTGCGGTGGGGAAGGGCTACTTCGCGTACAAGCTCAAGGCGCAGCTGGCCGCACAGGATCATGGATTCGCCCCCCCATCGACGCAGGGAGGGCGCGCTGCTGGCGACTCAGGCGCTGGCCTGGCGCCTGAAGCAGTCGGGATGGTCGTGGGTGGCAACCCTCAAAGATATGGCGAACGCCTTTGGCAGTGTGTCCTGGGACAGGTTCGATGAGGTTATCCTAGACGAGGGTCTGGTGGAGCCGCAGAACCAGAAGCTCTGCCGCGATAGGTGCCGCCTGTCAGTCGTGGAGGTGGACACGAGCGACGGGGTCCTCTTTTTGAAGACGGGCGAGGGCGGCCTCATGGGGGACCCGTTTGTGGTGCAGGCGTTCGCGGCGGCCTTTGTCGCGCCCGTGGACAAGTGGTCCCAACAACTGACGCAGGAGGGGATCACAGGACCGTTGCACGGGGGCTTCGAGGACTATTCGATCGACGTCTCGCTGTCCAAGTACGCCGACGACCTGCACCGCGTCATCCCCCTGGAGGTTGGGTGCGACATGGACGAGGCCCTCAGGAAGATGAAGCGCAGCGACGGCATCCTGGACGAGTGCCTCTTGCAGCATGGGCTGGCGCAGAATCGGGACAAGCAGGTGGCGCGCTTCATGATTCAGGGGACGGGCTCGCAGCAGTGCAAGCGTTGGCTCCAGCATTCCATCGCACGGTGTAGAATCGACGGACGAGTCGAGGAGGCGACGAGGTACCTGGGGCCGATTGTCACGCAGGACGCCTCGGCGGCGATCGAGGTGGAACGTAGGATGGTGGCCGCCCGTGCTGCTTGCTATGCCATGGCAGGCTTTTGGTCTGCCAGCGCGCCGCGACGCTGGCGGCGCGCTGTGCTGATCGGCCTAGTGCAAAACACCCTCCTGTCAGCACTTGAGGTTTTTTTATTCAGCCCCCGCCAACTCTCGCTCCTTGACCACTGCCTCGCCTCCCCCTGTAAGATCGCCATGCACGGAGCCGCGTGCGAACGCAATGAACAAGGGGAAGTCACGGACCGCATGGATTCTCTAGAGATTCTAGCCTCCTGGGAATTAGTGCCGTGCGAAACGGAGCTGCGCATCCGAAGGCTCGTCTGGTACCAATCTTGGGCCTCTCGGACTAGGGTGCACGCGCACGTTTTGGCAATGCTCTTTGGGGCCCTAGTTTTTGAACCTGCGGAAAAGCGGCCGTGTACAGTTGATGGCCTTAGTCAGTTTGCGAGTCCCTGGGCCAGACGCATCCAGGATGACGCCCGTGCCGCGATCGAAGTGATGCCCGATGACAGGGATGTGCTTTTGCGCGTTGCTGACTGCCCCTGGCTACTTATAGAAGATAAAGAATTATTTGAGGATTTCGTTCGCCTCGATTTCAGACGTCTGCGCAGTTACCATTTCACTGCCACGATTGCGCCCCCTGGCCCTTCCCGCGGTGTCTTTGACCCTGGGGTCCCTGGTGGGCTCGCCCCCCCCCCCGTCCCTGTTGCCCCGTTTGTTTGTTCTTGGGCGAAAGGGGAGGGGACGCAATGTGGCGATTCTTTCTGCACGAAGCGGGGTCTCACCGAGCACTTGAGACACAGGCACGGCGTCTATAATTTAGCTGCTCTGCTTTGCCCGTCTAATGAATGTATCGCGTGTAAGATGATTTTTTGGAATAGGCAAACGGCCTACCGACACCTCGAGGGATCGATACTCAGGGGGCACTGCGGAACGAGAGGGCCGAGTGCGATTGCGACCAGAGCTGAACCGAGGGATCTGGGGTGCCGCATTTGTTCGTACGAGTCGGCCGACTACGACGACCTCTGTAGCCATCTTCGGGCTCATCTTCCCTGGTCGGTTTCCTCGGGGGCGTGTTTTCTCGCGCGACAGCGTCGCCGCCATGGCCTCGGACGTGGCGATGCCCTCGTGGATGGTGAGGTCGGCCTCGCCCCCTGCACCGGCGCCGCGCCTGAAGCGGGGCAAGGCAGGCAACCCCAAGGAGAAGGCCGGCCAGCTCCCGGTCGTCATCGCGAAGCTCGCCCTCGCCACAGCCCGACAGGCAGCGCAGCTGGAGAGCGTGTGCTACAACACGATGTCCACCAGCGAGGCAGACGGCAGCCTGGGACAGGTGCGTCGCAAGGGGGGCATCGAGTACGACGGCGAGAGCAAGAGGCTCCGCGAGAGGGTCGCGGGCGGCGAGTCGGTAGACTTCAAGGCCCGCGGGCCACCTCACGTCCATCTGTTCGGCGCCATCATCAAGCGCAGCATGGAAGTTACGGCGTCGGGGGGGGCGACTCCGAACGCAGACGGGCACAAGATCTTCCTCGAGTACTGGCAGCAGGTGATAGTCGCAAAGAAGCCTCAGGAGATCGCGGAGCAGGTCCCCCACTGCAAGCACCGCAAGGCGAGGACCGCGGGAGAGGACGCCAAGGGGGTCCTGTCGTTTGTGCTGAACTCGAAGGTGCCGACCGCCAACTCTCTGTACCCGATCCTTGTGGACTACCTCTCGAGGGTGGAGAAGGCGGAGGCGGTGCACGGGCCAGCGCCGAGGGGCCCCTTGGAGCGAGAGGCAGGCAACCTGCTTCAGGCTCTCAATCAGCTTTGATGGCCAGCAGTGAGAGGCTCGCATCACTGATTGCCAGGGGAATTGTCAGCCCTGCAGTTTTGTCCGCCACGAGAGTGGCGACGGTGTACGCATCACCGTTTTTGCCCACATCTGTCGTCCAAGTGTTGAGTCCGACTCGCCGTGCACGTAGAAGGAGCGGAGCGGGAGGTGGGAGTGCCGCCGTCCCGAGCCTGCCTGTGCCTGCCGCCCCTGTACCAAATGTTTTAAGGCGTGTCTCGGATAGTGCATCCCGACCCCCTGCGAGGGAGCTTATCTCTTCGAGGGGGGTCAGGGCGGAGTGGGCCAGCAACAGTAGTACCCACGGGGAACGGCTCGCGGATGGGACGGGCGGGACGTTGGAGGGCGGGTCGGGTGTGACGGATCCGCGAGCTGGTCCCCGTGCGGGGGGCACCCGCCTGGCTGCGCGCCAATCGGCGGGCCGCTCCCTGGGGCCGCGCGGGCGGCGCCCGACAGGCCATGGTGGCCACAACAATTGACCAGTCCTCTTTCGATTGTCGCGAAGCGACGCCCAGGTGCGAGACAGCTGCGTGACCCCCGTCCTGCCGCGCCCAAGGGTTCCGAGCCGAGCCGAGCCTCCTCCTCCTCCATCCTCCTCCCCCCCCCTCCTCCGCTGCCCCCCGGGCGCGTCACACGCGACCCCGGGTATTGGAGAGAGGCTGGGCCAAGGGAGGGCCCTCGCAGGCCCAGGGCCCCGCTGCCCGGTGCCGCGAGAGCAGCAGCGCGTCCTGCGGGCGGGCCCGTCGCCGCCGCTGCCCCTGCGCTTGGGGGGCGGGCGGGCGGGCGAGCACCCTCCCCGGAGGGGTCCTCCTCCTCCTCCTCCTCCTCCTCCTCCTCCTCCTCCTCCTCCTCCTCCTCCTCCTCCTCCTCCTCCAGACACGCACTTGTCGATGGCTACTTCCAAGAGGAGTTTGGTGTCGAAGTGAACGCCGAGAAGCTTAAATCAGTGTAAATGACGTCTTCAAAACCGACAGACGAGGAAGAGAAGGGCGTCCCGGGCGCCGTTCTGCTGGCGATGGTGTGGACCAAAAGCACCTATCCTCCCTGGAGGGGAGAGATCCGGAAAGAAAAAAGCACACAGACGCAATCCATCGACGATTCCCGAGGAGATGCGGGAAGCTATGGGAGGTGTGGGGGGGGAGACAGAGCAAGGCCCATGTGGGAAAGTGTTGGGAATCCTGTTATTTGTCTCGATTTACTTGTGTGTCCCAGGGCCCCTTTCAAGAGAGACCGCACTGCACGGGTACAGTTGCGGCCGCTTAGATGTCGCAGAAAAAATGCCATATACATAAATGTTTGGCGCTCCGCACGGATTTCTTGGATCCGCGCTGGGCCCCCCCGGCGGCGCCTCCGGCGCCGCCCTTGGCGCCGGATTTGCGCCAGGGAGGGGGGTTCAGCGCAGATCCACGAAATCTCTGCGGAGCGCCAAAAGTTTACGTTCATGGCGTTTGTTCTTCTTCTGTACAGCTGCGGCCGCTTAGATTGCCGCTGCGTTGCACCCCTCGCGGTCTTCGTCGCGCTGTTGGGGTGGCCTTCCTGAGGGGCAGCGGCCTTCTGCGGCGAAAAAAACACCTTTCAGGAAGGAGAAGACAGAAACACGCCCAGACACACAGAATCGCCCATCCCCCGGAGAAGACGGAAAGCATGGGAAGTAGAGGGAAAGACGAGACTCCAGAAGAAGTGGAACAATAGCGGGAATCGTGAGACTTGTGCCTACTTATTGTTGTGTGCCCTTGGGCCCCAAGTTTTGTTCGATGCGTGGGCCCCCGGAGGTCCAGACCGCTTTCCTCAGGTTAAGTCGGGCCTGTCCCTCTACAGGAGGAATATTCCAAAATAGTTCAAAAGTAGTCCGGAGAGGATGTTTTAAAAGTATGGTCTAATTATTTCCCATATATTCTTAAGTATTTCCAATTGTTCGCCCAATATCCCCCTGTAGGGGGACAGGCTCCTCCTGTAGGGGGACAGGCCCGACCTAATTCTAAGTCTGGTTTATTGTCCTGAGTCCTTTTTGGACGCTCCCGAGGCCTGACGAGGGCCCCCAGAGGCCAAAAACCGCCCGCTCCCATATTTAGAATATGGGAAGTGGAGGGAAACACGAAACTCCAAAACATCTGGCAAAGTATGGAAATCCTGGGGTTTGTGACTTACGTGCGTCCCTGGACCCCATTCAAACCCAGACATCCGGCTGCTCCCATTTTTTGATGCGCGGGCCCCAGAGGTCCGGACCACTTCCCCGGGGCCGGGTTTTCATCCTGAGTCGTTTTCTGACGCTTCCCTTGACGGCGAGAGCCCCCAGAGGCCGAAGACAGCCAAAAACCGTCCGTCCTGAGCCGTATTTTGACCCTCCCAAGGCCCGGCGAGGGTCCCGTGAGACCGAAAACAGCCAAAAACCGCCCGCCCCAATTTTTGCTGCTGGAGCGGCGGATTTTTTTGGCCTGAGCCTATCCACACCAGTGATCCTCGTCGCCTGGCTCTTGGGCCCTGGCTCGGGTCTCTGGGCGGCCGCCCGCGACGGTCCGGGCTGCCCCAGAGCGCCCTCGGCGCCGCGCAGCTGCCCGAGCGCGCCCCGAGGCAGCAAAGCCTCCCGGAACCGACAACAGCGTTGGAAAGCTTCGGAAACCTCGCCACCCCCTGCTTGCCCCTAGGCCTCCCAGCCTCCCAGATGGGGTCCGAGTAGATGGGGTCGGAGGATCGCGCCGCATCGCCGATGCATCGGCGAGGCAGCTCGATGCGGAGCCCGAGTTTCGCCACGCCGACGGCAACAATGCATCGCCGACATTGCCGGTGCATCGCCAATCCATCGCCGATGCGCTGGCGATGCGGTGCGATCCTTCGACCCCATCTACTCCGACCCCGTCTGGGAGACCTCCGTGAAGCGCGCGGCGTTCCACAGCTTATGTATTCATGCTCTCTGCTCTCGCCCTGCCCGCTCTCACCCTTGTGCAGACATGTGTTTGCTCGTCCCGAGCCATTTGTGTATCGAGTTGTGGCCGTTGGGAAAGGAGAGTTCCCAAGAGTTCCCACCGGCAACGAAACACACGTCGATTAGGATTGGTAGCGGAGCGTCAGACCCCTCAAGGATTCCGCGCGATGGAGGACAGCAGTCACTCGGACAAGGCTTCAGTCCGGGACGGACGCGTGGAGTCACTCGAGACCTATGCGCGAGACGTGGAGCTCTTGGTCTTGGGAGCCAAGGATGAGCAGCGGCACCTGATCGGACCGAGATCCATTCGCGCGCTGCCACCACAGTCGGCGCAGAGGAAGCTGCCATGAGACTGAACAGATCCGACGCCGTTGACGAGACAGGCCAAGCCGTCCGTTCCGAATATGTTGCCAGCTACGAGGGCGCGGAGAATCTCATCGAAGCCTTTTCGACGGTCGTGCGGCACCGAGGTGATAGCTGACGTGGGTGGCAGAATCGAAAAGTACTTCTACGGCGAAGCTGGGCGGACGGCAGTCATGAGAAAGCACGGTTAGACCATGTCCCGGTAGATCGAGACGGAGGAGGACATCTACTACGAGCTGTTGCAGGCCTATCGGACCATAGTGCCCGACCTCAGGGAGATTCTTCCAAACCAAATTCGAGGCGTGCTGTTGTGGAGGAGCGCAGGAGTGTTGGCCACAGAACGAGCTTCACTCAGCACGGCCATCAACGGAGAGTGGTCCAGGGCGAAGGTGACGAAGTTGCCGAAGAGCACCTGGACCGACCAGGACCTGTTGGCACGAGACCGTTTCCATCAGCGGGGGCAGGCTCTTCAAGGGCGGCCACCACATGTTCGAGTCCATCTCCAGGACGTAGACGAGGAGTTCGATCAGTCCACCATCGGCGCCCTCGAGGACGAGGGGGGCTACGAGGAGCCGTACGAGGAGGACGACGTGCTGGCGTTGGAGGAGTACGTGGCCAAGTCACAGGGTCGGGCTTCCGCAGCTCACCGCACGTGGTCGGAGGTTCTCAAGATCCTGAATGATGTGCACAAGGCCCGTGGCCCTACCCCGTGGTGGGTCTGGCCGCTCTCCCTCCTGGAGGTCGGGGTGCAGCGGGGTGGCGCTCCGCTGGCGGGCCCCGCGGCCCGCGAGGGCCTCCGAGGGTGCCCAGGGAGGGTGCGGGCCGTGCCAGACCGGCCCAGGGCCGCGGCAGCGCCTCTGCCCCGCCGCCTCCAGCGCCCCGGTCGCCCAGACCGCCGAGGTGCCTGATCTGCCGCGGGCCCCACGAGACGGCGGAGTGCCCCCGCAAGCACAAAGGGCGGCACGCAGATGAGCTCGGCGGGCGCGGTGATCGAAGAGCTGGACGAGCGAGCCGACCTCGCCGGTGACTTGCGCGGCGCATTGGGACGGCCCCGACGGAGAGATGGAGCCCGTGAACTCGATGCCCACGCAGCACACTATGGAGGACCTGGTGGGGCACGCGATCGTGGACTCAGGGGCTGCCCGGTTCATTAGCGGCGTCAACCTGACCGGCTACCTCTAGGAGCAGGTCCTCCTGGCATTCGGCTCCGACGAGATGAATGCGACGGAGCGCGTGATGGCCACCTTCACCTGCGCGAGCAATGCGAAGGGCAAGAGCCTTGGTGGGCGGCGCCGGAGCACCTCACCCCCTGGCGCTGACGGCGCAGGGAGATTGCCGGTGGTTTGCTCTGGCGCCGATGTCGAGCGGGACTCTCCTGGGCCGGGGCTACTTGAAGGCCACCGAGGCCGACGTCGCACACGACGGCTTCCTGGCGCACAGCGACGGCCATCGCGGGAGGCTGACGGCCCCCCCCCCGAGTGGCCATTGGGGCATGCTCCTGTTCTAGGGACAGCGAAGGCGCGAGCGGCAGGTGGAGGCCCCTGATCGCACCGACTCCTTGATCGAAAACAACC